AGAGAGAGAGAGAGAGAGAGAGAGAGAGAGAGAGAGAGAGAGAGAGAGAGAGAGAGAGAGAGAGAGAGAGAGAGAGGTGGGGGGAGAGGCGAGCGTCTTTGAGAATGTAAGGGGGAGAGAAGAGTGAGTGCGTGGAGGAGGAAGTGGCGGAGGAGGTGCAGTGGGACGTAACTCGTAAAAACAGTGAGTGTTTGGATGATTTAAAATTTTCCTATTTTGGCCGATAACTCGCAAAAAATGCATGGCAAGACCCGTGGGCAACAAATTCAATGCATCTTTGCGCTTTGGGCAATGACGTAGTCCGTGAGGGCTGACCGAGAGGCGTCTATTGCTGGTCGACAAGTAGAACAAATTGAATGCCTTCATCATCTGAGGGGAATGTGGGGCAAGTGCTCAAAGAGATGAAAACAGTCGAACTGTGAACACAAGCGATTAACGAAACCTGAACCTGAACAAACATTTATATATTTTGAGAAATGGGTAAACGAAGCTGGATGTTTGAAACTGTGTAGTCATCGTTGAGCGTGATTCCAATTTAGCAAACCACGCTGATCTCTGGTATTCGATCCGCGTAATCAACAGTCAGAAATGAGTGATAGCTGTGACGTGCCTCGGTAAGATGTCTCGGAATTCATCTTTATCTATTGAGATCGTCATTAATTGCTTCAATTTACGGTCACCTGTTACAGGCCTCTTTTCCTAGATTGTCTTAAACGCTGATGCCATTCGATCTTAAACTACATGAGTCTCCGGTGAGTTTTTAGTGAATCAATGGCCGCACTCTTAAAAGTAATCCAATTCCGCTATGTATGGCCCATCGCACCTCCTCCTCTTCCCCTTCTTTCTCCTCTACTTCGCCTCTTCCTCCTCTTCCTCCTCTCCCTCCTTTCCCTCCTCTCCCTCCTCTCCCTCCTTTCCCTCCTCTTCTCCCTCCTCTCCTTCCGTCAGAATTTGGTAGTTTAATGGCCATACTCTTAAGCTAATCCAATTTCACCGCGTATGGCCCATCGCAGCTCCTGCTCTCCCTCCTCTCGTTCTCCTCTCGTTCTCCTCTTGTTCTCCTCTCGTCCTCCGCTTCCTTCTCCTCTTCCTCCTTTCCCTCCTCTCCTTCCTTGCTTCCTACTCTTCGTTCTCTACCTCTTCTTCCTGCTCTCCGCTCCTCGCGGTCGTGCTCCTTCTCTCCAATGGTCGGCGACGCTGGGTTCTCACACCTTCTGCGTATCCTCTTCATGTTTCCCTCTCTGTGTCTGTGCGGGAGCTCGTTGGATGCGTCTTTTCCCCCGACCCCCTCCTTCCTCTTGCCTCCAGAGTCCGTCCTGCTCATCCCCCCTTCCTTGCTCTTGTCATTCCTCCCTCTTCCCTGGTCATCTCTGGTCTTTTTGTATTACAACCTTTCTTAGATGGACTCGTCTGGCTTCGCATCTCCCTTGTCTCCGTAATGTTCACACGGTGTGTTATTGAGCTGGATTATTTTTTGAGCTTGATTTAATCCGAAAAGCCTAGTCTTTGTTTGCACTGGATTATTCTTCGAGCTGGGTTCAAGCCCGAAGTTGCCCGTTCAAGGACGTTAATAGGGGTAGATTCACACCGTGTTTTTTTATTCAGATTGAATGCGGCTGGGTTGGTGGCGGGGTACATCCAGAAAAGTCTGGACGTGGGTATAGCGTACAAGGTAGTACTTTAGTCCTGTAGTTTGCGCCAAACAAGTGCAGTCCTACAGTCTTCCCCCGAATACAACGTCCGGTCATTATAGATGAATTTGGGCCGAATACAACGTCCGGTCATTATAGATGAATTTGGGGTATCTTTCAGTCTAAATACGGCTATAATGACCGTACGTTGTATTCCGGGGAAGAAGGTAGGGGGTGCTGGTAGACGATCGAACGAGCCGGTATCCGGTCGCCGTATTGGAGGTCTCCATTCCTGCTGAAGCTCTCTCAGCTTTTTCGGGACCTTCTTCTCCTTGTTCTTCTTCGCACGAATGGGTCGCAACACTCAGAATGTTCTTAAAGCTGTTGTAGTGGAAACTGAAAAAGCGACCGAGTACAGAGAAGATGGCGGTTATGTACAATTTGTCGAATTTGATAGAAATGCTGTTGTTTGAATCAATAATGGTTTTGCCGATTGGTACGGGAATTTTTTTAAGGCTGTGCGAGACATGAACTACGAAAAAAACGCTGTTTGAAAATAAAAAATAAAATAGTCTCAATCGGATCTTGTGTAATTTAAATGCATTTTTTCAGTCCAGATGCATCGGTAATGACCAGGCGGGCGTTCTATCCGGGTGAAGACGGTAGTGGCACATCGTGCGGGCCCAATGGCAGTGATGCTGATGCTACTACCCTAATCAGAGAACAGTGCGTCGCCTTCTCTTGGAGGGCTGTTGTGCGGCAAGGGCGATCGGGCCCGACACATACTCTGAGAGAAAAAAATCCGGGCAATGTTGAAGACGACATTATCCGCACCGCACAGGACTTGCCAAGTTTCTCCGTCATTTGATGGCCAGTGCGGCAATTAAATCAACAGCACTTGCAATTGCGGTTATGATGGAGAATCGAACCCACATCCCTTGCTTGGAAACAGCCGATCGATCTGGGCAGTATACTGAATTTGCCCAAAAAAATTACTTCTTTGTTGTTTATCCCTCGTTTTGTGCGGCAATCGAATCAAAAGCAATTGCCGATGTGAAGGGGATCGAACCCTTATCTCCTGTTTGGAAGGCAGAAAATTTCGGGCAGTATGCTGCATTTGCCCCCAAAAAAATTACTTCTTTGTTGTTAATCCCTTGTTTTGTGCAGCAATCGAATCATCAAAAGCAATTGCCGATGTAAAGGGGATTGAACACCCTTATCCCCTGCTTGGAAAGCAGACAAATTCGGGCAGTATGCTGCATTTGCCCCAAAAAAATTGCTTCTTTGTTGTTAATCCCTCGTTTTGTGCGGTAATAGAATCAAAAGCAATTGTGGATATAACGGGAATCGAACCCTTGACCCCTGCTGGGAAGGCAGGCAAATTTGGGCACTTCGCTGCATTGCCCAAATGTTTCTCTTCTTTGTTGTTAATCCCTCGTTTTGTGCGCCAATCCAATCAAAAGCAATTGTGGATGTAAAGGGAAGTGTAGGGAAGCAGACAAATTTGGGTACTGTACTGCATTTGGCCAAAATGGTCAAATTATTAAATGGTAATTCCTTATTTTGCGCGAGGACTCGGGGCAATACTGCATTTGTCCACACCAGCTGAGAAGGCGGGCTGTTGGGGGAATCTTAATCTTGTCATGGCCAGATAACGACAAAATGCCGGCAACGTTCAATGTATGGACAGATCTGGCCAATCTTGTCACTGTCGATGTGGAGTGCAAACAGTGACCCCATTTTTAAAACATCTTCCAGAATGGGGTAGGCCCTATCATTATTGTATCCCCTGACTCCTTCAGGATTGGAATTTATGCTCTGTTCACCAATAGGTATGTGTCTACCATTCAGCCACATGAGCTGGGTACAGAAACCCGTGTTCGTGAGATGAGCAGGCAAGATGAGGGCAATCAATCAGTCAATCAGTCAATCAGTCAATCAATCAATCAATCAATCAATCACTTCAACCAACCGACCAACCAATCAGTCAATCAATCAATCAACCCAACCAACCAACCAATCAATGAATGAAATGAATGAGTGCAATCAATGAATGAGATCAATGAAATCAATCAATCAATCAATCAGTTAATAAATCGGAAACCATGTCGTCAACCAGGGGTATCCGCATTTTTTTCTAAAAGCAGAACCTTACACACTGATTAGTGAGTTGAAGATAACTTACACCTAAGTCCAGAGATGGAGAGAACATAATTAGTGCAGCTTAAGAAACCTCAATGATCGATCATATTATACCAGTTCAGAGTTCCAGTCACTTAGCGCCCGTCAGCGCTACAGCCAGCAGTTTCAATCAGGTATGTAATTGTGTTCATCTCTCATGTCACTCTCTCTCTCTCTCCCTCTCTCTCTCACTCTCTCCCTCTCGCACTCTCGCTCTACCTTCTCTACTACGAGGATCATATCCCTGGATACATCCGCCTTCCTACGAATGCTCTACTATGTCTACCACAGCAGTGGCAATGGCCACCCGTCTCCAAAGCTGACTGGACTGGGCTTCACTTGTCCTCTGCTTGACTTGGTCTGGCCCTGACTTGACTGGTACCGGTCACCCCTGGCCTGTTTGCAGTTTGGAAATTTGAGGCCCGGTACCTTCCGTATTTTTCTAGGACCGGTGCTGCGTTTTTTACTCTGGGACTTGACTGGGAGGCCGGGTACCGATTGCAATTTGCCCTTTGCGGCCTCTGGTGTACCCGACACAAACTTTTTCTATTTCGGCCACTTCGGCCCTTTTTGACTTGGGGACCTTGAGCCTGAGACTTGGATTTGGGGTCTGCAAAGTGAAAGTCCTTTCACTCTTGCTGGCCTGATTTTGAGGTCCTCCAAGAAAATTACCAACTTTAGCGATCTACTATATTCACGCCTCTGCGTGCCCGCTCATAATAGGAAACTATGTGCGGGGCAGTTTCCATTAACTCGTCCCTGGTGAACCAGTGATCTTCTTCAGGCTCTTGGTAAGCAAATCTGACTTTGTACTGTCGCTGGGGCCTCCCTTGTTGTCCAGACCTGTAGACGTCTTCTGCAATTATGCGGTCTACGTCATACTTGCTGTCCATGTCTGGAGGTATCATAGATCTTCTTGATGGGAACTTATCGTTAGTCACACAGGGATGCAACTTAAGAGGCATGGAAAACTGGATAGGTATGTAGATGCGGAGGTATCTCAACGTTAAAGGAAGGACTATCTACATCACCGATGACATCAAGAATCTGCCACGGTTCCCTATATGCAGGTAATAATTTTTGCGATTTATTTTCCTCTGGGAGAAATTCTTTCGACTTGACCCAAACTGAATCACCTGTAGCAAACTGCAAAGGTCTGTGATGCTTATTTGCTTGCTCAATCCTTTGATGTTGGACCTTCACTATATTCTCCCTAACTCGTTGTAAGTCATTCTCATATTGTACAGCAAACTCTCTTGTTCTTGGTGGCAATCTTTGGACTTGGTCAGGGTTCAAACAATCTATAGGCCGTCATGGACTCCATCCCCTATGCAGCTCAGTAGGAGTCCTTGCTGTAGCTAGGTGCACAAAGTTATTATGGGCAATGGCCAACTTGGGAAGATGCTCATCCTAGCCAATCTGATAGGTCTAATATACATGCGCAGTACTTGCTGGAGCAGTTTGTTCATCTGCTCGGTCTGACTGTTAGTCTCAGGATGCCTGCCTGACGACACAGTTAGTTTAGACCCATAGACTTCCATTAGCTATTGCCAGTGCTCGCTTGTAAATTGTGTTTCTGTAACTTACAATAGTCAAGGGATGGCCGTAATCTTTAACCCAATGATTAAGGAACTCTTTAATTACTAGCTCTGTCTTTGACTCTACAGGGAGTGGAATGAAAACAGCAAATTTACTGAACCTGTTTGCAATTACCATCACTTGACTTTTTCCATTCTATGGACACGGAGTCTCCGAGACCTGACAGAATAGGGAACTCTTTCAACAGTCCAAGGGGAGGCTGTGTGAAACTTTTGTTCCTTTGGCATACCGTGCAGCCTTGAACGTAAGCTATGCGATCATGCTTCATTCCAGTCCAACTAACGGACTGAAGGAGATTATCATATGTTTGTCTCCACCCAAAATGCCCCTCGGTGTCGTGGCATTCCCCTAGAATCATACTCCCAACTTCCTCACTGTTCGGGATGCACAGCTTGTCGTGCACGCCAGTCTTCTCAAACAATAATCCCAGGGTTACCCTATTTTCCGGGACTGTGTGTGGTGCTGTCTGCACCTTATTAAACCACCAGTACTTGACCCAGCTGTCGGCCGCGGAAAAAAATAGAGTAGAAATGTTTCTAGTTGGATTTTTTGGGCGCTCCTGTAGTGGCCCGTACGTTTCCTAAAATCGCGTAGCGTTAACGGGCACGACTTTAGGAAGTACTGGTGGTCTAATCAACTTACTATATATTGGATCATCAACATAGGCTGCTCTAATCCTCTTGCAGATCGGTACCAGCATCAAGGTAGGTCACTATGGCACTAAAGAAATCTGCTCCCCTACTCAAAACATGAGCAACGGCGTTTTATTTGCCTTGGTTTGAATTCAAAGTCAAATTGATCGATTTCACCAGCCCACCTAGTCAATTTCGGTGACATCCGGGCCTGGGTTTCAACCAGCGAAGTGTCTCATGGTCAGAGTGGACTTTAAAATGCCGTTCTAGGAGATAGTCTCACCAGTGATTGAGTGCTTCTCTAGGAGCGAACAACTCACACGCATACGTCGAGGCTGCAACTTTCTCACTAGGTAGTCTACAAGACAAACTCTAC